ATTCCATTTCTGGGTATTCATCCAAAGAAAATGAAAATATTAACAAGAAAAAAATATAAGCACCCCCATGTTCACTGTAGCATTATTTATAGTATCCAAAATATGAAAACAACCTACATGTCCATTTATGGGTGAGTGGATAAAAATGTGGTATAGGTATACAATGGAATATTATTCAGTCATAAAAATGAAAGAAATGATGCCATTTTGCAACAGCAAGAATGAACCTTGAGAACATTATGCTAAGTATAGTAAATCAGAGAAATACAAAAATACTGTATGATTTCGCTTACATATGGCATCTAAAAAAATCCAAAACAATAACAAAACAAAAACCAAGATCTTTGGGGATTGTCAGAGGCAGAGACAGGGAATAGGAGGAAACCAGTGAATGGAGTCAATAGGTAGAAACTGCCAGTTATAAAATAAGTTCTGGGGATATAATGTACAGCATGGTGATGTAGTTAATAATACTGTATTGCATATTTGAAAGTAGTTAAGAGAATAAATCTTACAAGTCCTTATGAGAAAACAAATGTCACATAACTCAATTAAAAAAAAGGCAGTCTTAAAAGATCACATACTATGCTTTCATTCAAATGCAAGTCCAGACAGAATAAAGAAATCTACAGAGTTTCACTCATATGTGGAACAGGAGAAACTTAACAGAGGACCACGGGAGAGGGGAGGGGGAAAATTAGTTAAGGAGAGGAAGGGAGGCAACCAAAGAGACTTAAATACTGAGAACTGAGGTTTGATGGGTGGTGGGGGAGAGGGGAAATTGGGTGATGGGCATAGAGGAGGGCACTTGTTGGGATGAGCACTGGGTGTTACATGGAAACCAACTTGACAACAAGCTATAATGAAGGAAGGAAGGAAGGAAGAGAAAGGAAGAGAAAGGAAGAGAAAGGAAGAGAAAGGAAGAGAAAGGAAGAGAAAGGAAGAGAAAGGAAGAGAAAGGAAGAGAGAAAGAAGAGGGAAAGAGGGAAAGAGGGAAAGAGGGAAAGAGGGAAAGAGGGAAAGAGGGAAAGAGGGAAAGAGGGAAAGAGGGAAAGAAATCTACAGAGATGGAAAGTAGATTAGTGCTTGCTTAGGCCTGGGGGGGTGATGGGGCGGTGGCATCATTGGAGAGATATCAAGGAGACNGGGAAAGAAGAGGGAAAGAAGAGGGAAAGAAGAGGGAAAGAAGAGGGAAAGAAGAGGGAAAGAAGAGGGAAAGAAGAGGGAAAGAAGAGGGAAAGAGGGAAAGAGAGAAAGAGAGAAAGAAATCTACAGAGATGGAAAGTAGATTAGTGCTTGCTTAGGCCTGGGGGGGTGATGGGGCGGTGGCATCATTGGAGAGATATCAAGGAGACAAGGGAATGATAGACAAAGGATATGGTTTTCCTTTTGAGGTGATGAACATTTCTGAAACTGACTGTAGTGATGACTGTACAAATATATGAATGTACTAAAAACCATTGATTATACACTTTAAGTGGATGAATTGTATGGTATGCAAATTATATTTCCGTAAAGTTTAAAAAAGAGCCAATGGTAAATACTTATTTGCAATTTTGCTAATATTCTTTATGTCATAAGATATTAATCCCCACTGACAAATAAGTGAATATCAAAGAATCTCTAATAAGTGACTTTCAAGGTCTTGTGATAGCTTTTTCCAACTGTGCTACCATTGGTGCCAAGGGTCCAAATTTCCACTATTCCAAATTACCTACTAACCATAGGTCTTTGGGTGGGCAACTTAATCTTATGGTTAGGTCCTTACTTTCCTTTTCTGAAATCCAAGAACGTCAACCAACTTAGAGTACTAGTAGGAGGAATTCATGAGACACAGAATGTAAAGCACCTAGGACTGTGCCTAGCACACAGCAGATGCTCAATTAGTGGTCATTATGTTTTACAATCCTCTCTTTATTAGCATTGATTTGGTTCCAAGTGACAAAAGCCCAGTTTAACTTTCTGAAGCAAAGAAGGAAACGTATTAATTCCCATCACTGGGAAGTCCATCTAGCTTCAGGAGCAGTTATATCCAAGGACTCAAGTGACTTCTGAGAACACTGTATCCCTCTTCTGGCTTCATCCTCAGGCTGACTCCATATGGGGAGACAAATATGCCAAAGCAGTTCACCCCTTTAGTAGCCCTGGTAGAACAGATCTTTTTCCAGATAACGTCAACCCAAGTCCTGGGAAAGAATCTGATTGGCCCAGGTTGGTCCCCTTCTCAGCCAATCATCATGGCCAGGGGAATGGAATTCAAGTGACTGGTCAGACCTGAACCATGTGCTCCATCTGTGGGTGGAGGATGGATCAACCTTCCCGAAATAAGACCTCTGCTACATGTCTATAGACATTTATTCTCTCCTACAGTGTGATAGCCTTTTAGGCTTAATGGTGAGGCAAAGAAATTTTATATTTCAATTCTGCATTTATACCTTAAATGATCACCTACTTGCCTATTTATCTACTGATCGCTCTTTCTACATTCTGTGTGTCTATGCACACATGTGCATGAACCCTCAGACACATGGGGAGACTGCCAAATGCCAAGGCTAAGATGAGAATCTTGTATAATCAATTGTTTACACATTTCCTAACAAGAGTAATCCCTTCCTGATGGCTTCAACTAGTCGTTGAGGTCTGGAAAAGACAACCTTTGTAAGAAATGTGGATAAGATTATATGTCATGGGTAATTTTACTTACTGAATATTTTCTTGGTTGTGAGTTTAGAAAAAGGACAAGAAAATACAAACTTGGGAAGCCCCTGCAATGCTGGGCAGTGACTGATGGGAAGAAGCCAGTGGTGGGTTTACATTTGCAAATGACCAAACCTTGCAGAGTGGAGCTCTGGTCTGAGGATTGGCCCCCTGGGGGCCAGATGCATGCCATTGCTCATCCTTCAGGCCATTTTGTGAGATGTTTTGGATTTAATTTGTGGGTGTCTTTCCCTTTTCCAAAGGCAGAGTTTAGAACACAGAAGAAATTTAAGGCTCCAGGATGCACTGCTGAGTTGTGGCCTCCCCTGGGGCCTGTTTCTCATCTTTAAATATTTTCATGGGTGATTCTCATTATGTTCAAGACCTGTTACACATGTGCCTCCCTTGCCTCAGGAAAGGCCTGGACTCAGTTGCTTATAATCATTAATGAAAACAGGTTCTTTGTAGATTTCCCATGGTCAAAAATCTGTAACAGAAAACTATAGTGAAGTGGTTAAGAGTTCAGGCTTTGAATTTTTTTTTTTTAAGATTTATTTCTAAGTAATCTCTACGCTCAATTTGGGGCTCAAACTCACCACCCTGAGATCAAGAGTCTCATGCTCTGAGCCAGTCAGGCTTTGAATCTCAACCAGGCTTTCAGGCTTTGCATCCTTTTCTTTCTTTCTTTTTTTTTTTTAATCACCAGATTACACTGAATAATTATGTTTATTGGTTACATCTGTCTTCCCCAATTAGGTTATAAGCTTCATGAGGACAGCCATCTCTGTTTTGTTCAAGGGTGTAGCTCAAGCACCTGGAACAGCATCAGGTACTCAGTAAATGTCAAATGAGGGAGTCTAGAATCTACCAGTATGTGTTGGATCAGGTGGTGGTCAGGAGTAAGGATCAGCACCAGCAACCGTTCTCTCTTCTTTCCACCCTCTCCCTACTCCATCTGTCTTGAGAGGGGTTTTGTCCTCTTTCTGTATGAGCCAGACACCTGTACTTTGGTCAGCATGCATTCCTCCCCACTCTAGGTTTGACATGCAAGCTCTATGTGATCAGTTTTCTACCTTTGCTCTTGATATAAAAAGCTAGATTTTGGAATGCCAGTGGAAATTCTTTCCCAACAAAGCCTGCCTTGGCAAGGTAAAAAAAAAAAAAAAAAAAAAAAAATCAAAGCCTTCAGGTTTTTAGACTTCCCTCTCTTTTGTAGACTTAAGAACTCAATTTTGAAACTCAGAACTAGAGCAAGAACTGCTTTGTCTTGGATTACCTCTGCCCTCCTCGTGAAATAGGACAAATACAAAGCTGCAAATGCTGCCCAAGAGACAGTGACTACTTGGCGTAGCTCCTATCGTATCCATGGTCATGAATGACCAGCACATCCTCTGAGGGACCGGTCTTTATTTTGCCTTGTAATGCTTACATGTGATTATTGCCCAGGGGGCTGTTTTTGCCTCTTTAGAAGACTGCGCATATCTTTGCTTGATGTATGATGTACTGATTCCATTCTTCACGTCCAGGAGAGCCATCTCCAACTGGAGGCTTATAACTGACCACCATCATGGCAGCTGGGCCCACTTTTGTCAGATCAATAGGTCAGACCCTACCACCTAAAGCCCATTTCCTGCCTGGTCTTACATTAGCTATTATTCATTGCCTCAGGTTTGCCTGGGAAAGACAGTTTATGGATCCCATTTGCAGCTAATGAATGACCTGAAAAGACTTTATATGGAGGCAAGCTCACAGAGTTAGTTCAAACTGCAGATGGAGTGTCTTAAACCATCACATTCCTGTACAGTAGTGACACAACCTTTAAATAAAGAGACCAACTTAAAAGAAATTTATAGAAAGCAAGAGAAAAATTTCTTCCCAAAAGAAAGTATGCTTATGTAAATAAAGTCACCGGCTGACAGTATAGGGCAGAGAGTAGCATGGTGGACCCGTGGTGGGAGTGGGGACTTCTCCCTCAGGCCTCCTCAGGCTTCCCCACCCCACAGTGTGAAGATCCGGAAGGACAGTATGCTGGAACCCAGACCATGACAGCCATTCGGAGGGGAAGGGATTTCCAAAGAGGTTGTGACTTCAGAAGCCTAGAAGAAATCCTGGGTTCTTAGGGCTGAAATCCACCTCAAAAGATTCCTGACTTCTCCAAAGTGGAGTTTAAATTTGGCAACATTCACCTTACAAAGTTCAGGGAAAGGGATAGCTCGCTGGAGGGCTTGACGGGCTGATATCTTTAGTGAAACAGATGATCAGACATGGGACTATTCACCATGTAAAGAATTTAATTGACTCACCTCGCCTGGAGTCCTTGCTTGTTTGGTAATCTTCTGATCAACGTTGGCTCTTTCTCTCTTGTTTAGATTTTTGGCCATAAGGAAAAAACACTTACCCGAAACTGGCTTAAACAGTAAAGGATGATATTTTCTCAAGGGAAGAATAGTCTGAGAGATGGCAGGTCCAGGGTTGGTTAATTTAGTGGCTCAACAACCTCAAATGCTAGATTCTTTTCATAATTCTGCTCTGCTGTCCTCAGGGTGTTGGTTTGGGTCCTAACCTCATCTCTTTGTGGTTAAAAGACGGTGGCAACAGCCCCGACCATAGCATCGTCACACAAGATGTGAAGGCCAAGTGAGACTGACACTTCTTGATAAAGAGAAACACTTTCCCATGCCTCACCCCATGCGTCTCATAAACCTCTCCTTCTATCTTATTGGCTATAATTGTTACCATGACTTTTTCTAAGCCAATTGTTAGCAAGGGGAGGAGACCCACCATGGTTGCCTTAAATTAATCACAACTGAGAGTGGGCCCTGCTTTCTTAAAGCACAGAGTCACACGTGAATGTATTAGAACTCTATTGACAAGAACAACCTGGGGAAATGGCTGTTGTGTATTCAATGCAATCAGAAGTATCTGCCATAGCACGAGTGTTTCCTGCAAGGAAAGATGCACTGATAAAGTGCACCGAACTCAACTGTCCCTGTGGAAGCTATTTGTCTTGTTATTTTAAAAACTATAGTCTTGCTTGCTTAAAAATTTTTATTCCTCTTCAAAACAAACAAAAATGCTCCTAGAAGGAAGAAGTGACCTATTAAACTTCAAAGTGTTGATGCTTATCAGATCTGTCTCTGTAGCATGGATGGACAGATGCCTGACAATCCCACGGGCTACATGGGTAGACGGGAAAAATGCAAGAGGACCAAAAACCTTAATAAAAGTTTCGGCAAATGCCCACTGAGGGTTCTTGATGTGACAGGCACAGTGCCAAGCAGGATACCAAATAGTCTCTGCTCCTAGGAACCACAGTTGGCCTCATGGCTTTGCCTGGGGACACTCTGTTGTGAGAGTGAAACCCAGCTAGTCAGGGAATCCAAACCTGTCCAGATGGCTTAGGCTTCTGGCTGCCCAGGCAGTGAGCATGACAGTCTGCCACCAGTAGAGTAATGGAGACAGAAAGTAGTCTCTTATCTGCCCCCCTTAGCAGACCAAACCCTATTGAGGGGTGTTGCATATACCTTGTTTTAGTCCCTGGGTCTCTGGTTCTCATCAGCAGACCAAGCCAGCAGTGCCTGCCCTGTTTTATAAGTAGAAGTTGGGTCCTCATTTCTCCTCTCCAGCAAAGCATTGGTAGCATTTCTATGGAATAATCTCTATATAGGAAAGCCTTAAAAGAGGGCAAAAAAACAAGTTGATGAAGGATTGAAGGGGGATAGGCAGAGTTCCAGGAGGGAGTGGGAGATACTGTATTTGAGAAGGCCCAGGATCAGGAGTGGGGCACGCAATGAAAGGGCACCGATTTCTCTTGAAAGGCAATGGAAACGCATAAAGAATGAATTCCAAGACCTCAAACCCTATAAGAAGCAATGTGCCCACACCATGAGCCACTATTTAATAAACACTTAGGGATTTGAGGGTACATTAGATTCAGCAGACAGGGTAGAATTTTGTTATCATTTCTATGGTTAAAAGTGATGTGAATAATGTAGAAATACTAAAGGGAAAAATAAAGCAAATTTCCAGAAAAAAAAACCCTGCATCTATCATTAAAGCCTGGTGGGTGAATTATTTTCGTAATTTACTGGTGCTTGTATAGATGCAGATATTTACGCATGCAGTGATAATTAATTGCATTGTCCAGAGAAATTTACCTCTACAGATTTAAGCAATTGGAATTTAACGAGGCTTCCAGACAGTCACAAACCAACATTTCTCTTCATATTCTTTGTTGATAGAGAAAATGAGCTGAACAAAGTTTCTGTCATACAAACTAATAATTACACCTATTTTTGTGAGAACTGCTGCTGTCCTTTCTAACAGTCTACTATGCCTATGCAGTTGGCCTGAATTTATTATGTACCATTATGTATGTGTCTTAACTGGGATTCTATGAAATGAGACTTCCAACCTAGAGAAGGTTCAAAGACTAAAGATGACCACATCTGCTACAAGAAAATGTCACAGTTAAATTTAAAAATCATAGAGGGTAAGAATTTGGAGTGAAACACCAAATAGCAATCCATTTAAGGTGAAAGAGACAAGACAGTAAATTCCTTGATATAATCCAACTTTCCTGGGTGTGTGATCTGCAGCAAATGCCAATCTTAGTACAGCAGACTCCTCACAACCCATGTGTGGTCTGATGATGGCAAAGATGGTATTATAGGGCCTCTGCATTGCCCAAGCTTCCATAGTTTCTTTGATGTCCCCTATGTTTTTTTCAAGCCCTGCTATTAATTTTACCATTATTATTCTAAAATCTTGTTCAGTTATGCTGCTGATATCTGTTTTGAGCAGTTCATTAGCTGTCATTTCTTCTTGGAGTTTCTTTGGAGGAGAGCTCTTTCGTTTCGTCATTTTAGTTAGCTTTCCGGCTCTTGTTGGTTTTAAAGACCTGTTATGCTCTCTGTTTCTATGAGCGCTGCTATATCCAAGAAGGCTCTTTGACTTTCCAGGGCCTATCCTTTCAGAGAGTGTTTTTTGAATGGTATCCCTTGGTCTCTCTTGTTGGGACCTTGGTTATTTTATTTTCCTACTCGTAGTGATATTTGGGACTCTCCACCTTGTGCACTCTAGCTTGTTTCTTGAGGTAGCCCTGGAAAAGAAAACAGACAGACAAACACACAGGGACCAGGAGCACACAAACGCACAGGCTAATTCAACTAACAGGCAAAGCGAGAGGGAAAACGAAAAAGTTAAGAGAAAAGACGGAGGAGGGAGGGCAAATAATAGGGAGTAGAAAATACATAAAAGGGTCAAAAAGGGGAAAAGAAAAGGAAAAAAGAAAACCGATGGACAAAGAACGGTTTAAAGCATATACCTGGATTTCCCAGCTACAGTTAAATAGCCGTGTGTATGCAGTGCTGGTTGAAGAGCATAGAGAAAAAGAGAGAAGGCAGGGCGAGACGAGGCAGAATTGGAAATAGAATGAACAGGCAGAAGGGATAAGAAGCTTTTTTCAAAGAGGTAAAGGGTAGAATATGGTTGGATAGGTGAGAGAAGGATGCTGGAATTATCCAGAGAAACTATATAGTCTAATTTGCCCAAGCTTCCATAAAGAGCAAAGTCTGTCAGGATTCCTAGGTCCAGGATGGCTAATGGGAAAATGACATGAGTACACTGCAACCATGTGGTTTAAGAATAGGCTGTTGGGGGGCGCCTGGGTGGCTTAGTCAGTTAAGCGTCCGACTTTCGCTTAGGTCATGATCTCGCGGTTCGTGGTTTCGAGCCCCTCGTCGGGCTCTGTTCTGACTGCCAGCTCAGAGCCTGGAGCCTTTTTCAGAGTCTGTGTCTCCTTCTCTCTCTGACCCTCCCCTGCTCACGCTGTCTCTCTCTCTCTCCTAGAAATAAATAAAAATATTTAAAAAAAAAAAGAAAACTAAAAAAAAAAAAAAAAGAATAGGCTGTTGGCGGGTGGCTGGGTGGCTCAGTCACTTAAGCATCCCCCGAATCTTGATTTCGGCTCAGGTCATTATCTCATGGATCATGAGATTGAGCCCCATATCTAGCTTTACACTATCAGTGCAGAGCCTGCTTGGGCTTCTCTCTCTCTTTCTCTCTCTGCCTCTCCCCTACTCATACTCTCACTCTCTCAAAATAAGTAAACTAAAAAAAGAAAAAGAGAATAGGCTGTTGGCAGTGATGTGGAGATGGGAGCAAGGACATTAAGATGCAGGGAGGGCATATGTCTTATGTGAAAAATGTTGTCGGCTCTGTGAGCACAGGAACTTGGTTCACCTTATTCACTATTGTGTTCATAGCATAGAGAGCTGTGCCTGGCATACAGTAGGTGCTAAATAAATATCTGTGGCAGAATGAAAGAATGAATGGTGCATGTTAACTGAGTGGCTGGTCACCATGACCTCTCCTGTAGCATCCTTTCCTCCAGCGATCCTTTCACCCAGGGCTGTGTAGTCACCTCACCTTTCCCATGTTTCTCCTTCCTATTTACTTTTGTCTAGCCAATTTATGGGGCTACTCAGCAAATGTTTTGACTCCAATTGGGAAAACAAGCTCTTGGTGCCATCATTGTCACCTGGCCCAGGCTCTCAAAACAAGCCTGGTGTTAAAGAAAATGTCAATGGGAAGGTTTTTGTCTGCCCCTCTGGCAGATGACACAGGGCTTACAAAACACTTAACACGTCTGGATATCAAATTTGAGCTTCTTCAATTGCCCTTCCAGAGAAACCTCTCCCACACTCCTATCCCCTATAGCCATTTCCACCTGCAGAGGCTCTAGAACCCTGTCGGACAGCAGCTCCCTAGTCCCTAAAATGAAACAAAAGTAGAAAATTAAGATGATGGTTAACCTGGAGTCATGGTGTCCTGGAACCTAAGAATGAGAAAAACCAGACTCAAGTCCTATATTTATAATATGAAAGGGTTCGATTCGATTAGTTTGTTTCATGGGTACAATCTGCCCTACAGGGTGTTGTGCTTTGCTTATAGAAAAGACCTTTTTTTTTTTTTTTTTTTTTTTTTTAGGGGCACCTGGGTGGCTCCAACTGGTTAAGCGTCCAGCTTCAGCTCAGGTCATGATCTCATGATTCGTAAGTTTGGGCCCCACATTGGGCTCTCTGGTGTCAGTGCCAAATCTGCTTTGGATCCTCTGTCTGCCCCCCTCTCTGCCCATCTCCTGCTCCTGCATGTTCACTCTCTCTCTCAAAAATAAGTAAACATTTAAAAAAATAATTTTGTTTTAATTTTAGAGAGAGAGAGAGGGAGAAAGTGCATGACCTGGGGAGAGGCGCAGAGGGAGAGAGAGAATCTTAAGCAGCCTCCACACTCAGCCTGGAGCCTGACGCCCAGCTTGATCTCACAACCCTGGGATCATGACCTGAGCCTAAATCAAGAATTGGATGCTCAACTGACTGAGGCACCCAGGCATCCCCCTGCCAAAACCTTTTTTTAAACATGCATTAGTTGCCAACACTTAAAAATCAGGAGATTTAATGTTAAAGTCTACATTCCCAGTTTCTCTTGGAAAACTGGAAGGTCTCTCATGGTGGTGTCTGCATTTTCTCAGAGCAATTGCAGCTGGGGACATATCGCCACTGGGGCAGAAAGGCACCTGGAGCGGAGCCACATTTCTCT